TGTTAATTGCTCGAAGCCGGGTTGTAGGAATAATGACGAGTGTGGGAGGGGACAATCTTGTTGTAACAAAAAAGAGGTACAGGGAGATCGCATTGGAGCTAGATGTGAAGCTGACACAGATTGTGCTAGTCGTGAATGTTGCCATGAAGAGAAGTGTGTTAAATGTTCTAGCCTTCAGTGCTCTTCCAATTCTGCCTGTGGCGCTTTTGTCGTTCCTCTTGCATTGGAGCTAGATGTGAAGCTGACACAGATTGTGCTAGTCGTGAATGTTGCCATGAAGAGAAGTGTGTTAAATGTTCTAGCCTTCAGTGCTCTTCCAATTCTGTCTGTGGCTCTGGATATTGTTGTAAACGACGGTATTATTACGACAAAAGTCGGTGTATGACAGCTGGCTGTATTGGCCAAACATGCGCTCGAAGTAGTGACTGTGGTGGCTTGAACGAATGTTGTAGAGATAACATATGTGCATATTGTTCTGAGTCGAGGTGCAAAGATAATTCCGAATGTCCTCTTGGAGAATATTGCTGCAAGAGAAACGGACAGGCAATGTGCAGACAAACTTGTGAGGGACAATTTTGTAACGCAGCTAAAGACTGTGGCGCTCCAGGAGAATGTTGCATTGCAAATAAATGTACAACATCTGGATGTCACTGTAACTCTAATTCCGATTGTAAATTTGGTGTATACTGTTGCACGTATGCTTGCAATTCTAGTTGCATTGGAAAAGGGTGTTTATGGGACAACGATTGTGGAGCTCCAGGAGAGGAATGCACCTATCCAGACAGTAATTGTGTTTATAGTCATTATGATAAAAAGTGCCCTAAACTACCCGAAAAGAAATGTTTTAACAAAAACGGTTGTTATTCCCATGACGACTGCAATGTATTTGGTAGCGGTTATTACTGCTGTAAAGGGCAATACTCATTTGATGAAAGAAGCTGTAATTCAAATTGTCTCAAGAAATTTTGTAACGAAGACAGTGATTGTGGTGGTTCCAGTGAATGCTGTGACTCTAATAATCAATGCTACAAGTGTCCAAATAATGTTCCCGCATGGGTAATCGGCATTACAGTCGGAATTGCGCTATTGATTATTACTGCGGTTGGTGTTGTGTTCAGATATATTTATTCCAAACGCAAGCAGGAAAGGATGGAAACTCAACCGTCTCAAACAGGTGTTATAGAAATGGAATTCCAACAGAATAACCGCCACCAAAATATCTATAGTGCGGGATTGCAAAGCACCGTTGGTGCTTGGTTTGTCGACGATATCCAATCTTCCCTGCCAACTCAACCTTGGACAGGGATTTTACCCTCCCAGACGTGACTGTCTTGCAACAAATGCCTGTTATGCCATTCCAAAATTTAGGAATAAATAATCTTGGCAACGTAGAATCCAATAAATCACTTGCAGGAAATAGGAATGACGATAATGAAACAGTAAGTCTTGCAACAAATGCCTGTTATGCCATTCCAAAATTTAGAAATAAATAATCCTGGCAACGTAGAATCCAATAAATCACTTGCAGGAAATAGGAATGACGATAATGAAACAGTAATTCCAAGTGCTCCTCCCCCGCCCTATCCTGTTACGCCCCCTCCGCATCCTCCTCCAACTTATCAAAACCTATTTGGGAACCGCTAGACTCTTGGGCACTATAATGATATATCTACCACACCCATTGCCCTTGCTCGATTTTGGTATTAAAATTTTGCTCAAGACCTCGCATTAAAAGTTGATGGTGGTGGGCTTTGCCTTTGGAGAGATGGGCTGAAAACACATTCATCCCAGGTCTTGAATTGGAACTTCAAGACTCGGGATGCCGGGTCTTGAGTTTCAAGTCCAAGACTTATACCAAGTCTTGAACTTGCAATTCAAGACCTTCTAGAGGCAAGCATCCGCAGCTACCAAACTCATGGATCAAGCTTCACATTTCCTTTTCGACAAGACATTATAGACAACGCTGCACTCTAAGTTATGCGAACCTTTCAGAAAATGGGTTGCTTGATCTAATGAATAAAGAGTCCAGAATTGTACCATTTAACTAACATTAAATTCGTTTTTAAGATAATCAATTAATCGTGTCGATCAGTGTTGTTGTTTATAATGTACAGTTATTGCTATGAATTTTAAATGTTTAAATTTTTTATCAGTAAAGCTGTAAAGCCTGGTTTCTATATGGTCGTAACGGTCGTAAAGATTGAGTCAAAATCTTTCTTAGCAGCGGAATTACAACATTTTAGAACTAAAAATACGTGGAGTGATTATAACTAGAGAATACTTATAATATATTTGTAGTTTACAAGCAACCTCGTACCCAAGGCTTCTGGTACGAGGTTGGTTTACAAGTACTATAAACTATTATAAACTAGCCGTTGTAAAAGATCGTGGCTCTATTTTACGACCATTACGATCATAATGGAAACCAAACTTAATTAAGGAATCCTACACAGAACACAACAGATTGTATAATGCCGGGAATCAAAGGAAATCTTGAGATGAAAGGAAGATTGGGACACGCGTTCCAATGGACCATTTGCGTAATAGACTAAGTTTTGATCTAGACAAAAATTTCATCACAGCTTGAAAGAGCATCACAAAATTAGTAATATTCCAAAGTTTCGTTGCGAAATGTTGTAAAATGCGGATAATATAGCCTTGCGAAATTTGCAATTTTCAGTCATTTTAGATTACAAACGGGAAATTGACAGCCCGATACGCTTTGAGGCTGTCAATTTCCCGTTTGTAATCTAAAATGACTGAAAATTGCAAACTTCGCAAGGCTATATTATCCGTATTTTACAACATTTCGCAACGAAACTTTGGAATATTATTAATTTTGTGATGCTCTTTCAAGCTGTGATGAAATTTTTGTCCAGGCTTGTTTAGATCAAAATTTTGTCTATTACGCAAATGGTCAATTATCCGAAATGCCTTATACATTTTCAAACCCGCTTTTTAAAACTAAAATCTTAAATAAAAGCGTACAGTGTTTAACGCTTTAAAAACTAAGAGTGTTTTCGTGATTTGACGAACTCTTTTGAGTTTATTAAACACGCGAGAAGTTGGAAGGTATGTAAACGAAAAAGCCGCATAAACATGCACTCGGCTGATCTGGCTGCTTTCTCAACCTCCCAAGTGCTCTCCCAACTTTCCGAACTTTTCTTCAAAGTTATATACATGTAGTTTTATGGTTTAAAATGCGAGGGGTTCTTTCATGTATGTATTTCTATGTAGTAAATATTTAAAAGCGTGTATAGCCGGGCTAAATGGCAAGGCTATATTTTGTTAATTAAATTTTATGGAAAGTGTATTTGATTTTCGTTACATTTGTGTAACTTAATTTAACCATGATATAGAAGGCGCTAGAGTGCAAAATAACTGTGAGAAAGGATGTCTTTATTTGACCATGTTTGACTACAACAAATGTGTTTCGCCAACGCATTTTCCAAGTGCATCACTTAAAACAGAGAAGCCTCTTATTGCGTCATAACTCTTAAATAGTTCTGGATCATAGAATAAAGATCCATATAGAAGGGCCTCGCGCATGTCGCATTACGCATGTTGGCCGCCATTTTCCTAGCCAGTCAATGACATTTTCTGGCCAATAAACACGCCGTACTGGCTGGCTGCTCCGCCTTCTGGCCAATAAACTGCATATTTTTGCATAAAAAAACGCGGACACGTTACACCGCTGAGTGGCCCTTCTGTTACTGATCTTTATTCTGTGTCCGGGCATCCTACTTTGACTGACGTAATAGATACAATGACTTAGCTTGAGTAATGCGATTTATCGCTCCCTGAATGCATGTAACAGGGACGGTGCTACAATCTTGGAAAAAACCCTTGAGACCATTCCAGCCAATATTACAGAGTTATTGAACATTGACAAAACAAAGTTTGTTTCTCCCTCCCCTCCAGTTCAATGTTGTGAACAACGCCGAAACAACTTTTGGTAATATACCACCGGACACAAGTCAACAATGAGTTGGGGTAGCGGTAGCCTGCTCACAGACGTTGTAGTTCTTACGCCAAGCGACGAAATACTACCGTCTGCTTACCCGAGCTGCATATTCAATTCCCTTTGATTTAGGAGCCAATCATCTGGCAGTGCTCAAAAACGCCAATTGGAAGCCGCCTTATTGAGAAATTAGCTACTGGGGAAAGCCCTTGCACACGCATTGGAATATATTGTTTGGGTTGAAACTTGAAATTTGTTTACTTGCGTGGATATATTTTGGAAACTATAGCGTTGAACTTCACGATGTTTACGTAGAATAATATTGTTATCATCTTCTCGCATGTTCAACAAACAATCGGTGTATATAAAGTCATAGGCGTACGGGGCCGCTAAATTCTGGGGGGGCGGTAGCTTTTTTGCCCAAAAAATTCCACATTGCCCAAAAAATGTCAAAAATGTTTTTCCAGAAAAATTATTTTGGCGACCTCCCCCCCCCCAAAAAAAAATTGTTTTGGCGACCTCCCCCCCGTCGCCAAAAAAATTTCGGTCAGTGTACCATTTTACGGGTCAAAAAAATTTTCCGGACAACCAATATTTTTCGGAACATAACACAAATTTTCCAAAAATCACAAAATTTGCCAAAAAATTTACTTAATTTTAGACAAAATTGACAGAATTTGTCCCATTTTTTTTAATTGCAAACCAAAATTGCCCGACTGTTGATCGAATATTGCCCGACTGCCCAAAAAACTGGGAAATTGCCCGACTGCCCAAAAAACTGGGGGGGGCTACCGCCCCCCCCCCGCCCGGTACGCCTATGAAACCGCCACATCACCATGATTTGTCCCTCGAGCATGGTTGAGGTTCAAGTGCCACCCGTTCCGCGAGTCGTTTCGTGCAGAACTGGCCGTTTTTGAGTTGTACCATCCTAAACGTTTGGTCGACACAGTAGAATAAAGTTTTTTTTGTTGAAGACGATTTTGACAACCATGCTCCACAATCATCGTCGAAGTAGTTCAAGCTACTTCTCATTCCCGCCTTCTTTTCTCCACGTTTATCGTTTTTAATTAAAAAGTCACCTTATAAAACTTCGCAAAGTTCTTCCACGTCGAGAAGCCGTCCTCATAATTTATTTCTATTTAGATCACCGTTTTGCTTCGAGTTTCTGGGAGGAGTAGGCGCGGTCTCCGAAGACTGCGTTTCAAACTGGGGTTTTTTAACCAAACTACTCTCAGTTTTGTTTTGCATTTCACAATCGGTGGGCAAACTGTAATCTTCCGGCAAAGACCTACAGTAGTGGATGGCGGGTGGTGGTTGGAGGTGGTTAGTTGGTAAAGATCTTATTAGTCAGGAAATCTGTACTCACATAACGTGATTTTCAGACAGGTCCGGAACAAAATCATGCTTTACAAAACAAAATTTGAAATTTAAAATTACTTATCAGTATACAATAATATTTACACAGTATTAATGTCTATATATATTAAAATCAGAAATTTAACGATTTAAAAAAATACGACTTAAAACTATTTAGGGTTTCAGAACATTTTATCGTGTCATCTAGATTGTTCCAATCTGAGATCACGTGATAACAGACTCCGTATTTACCCCCAGTTTCTGCGCACCTTAGGTAGTCTCAATTTGTTCTTAGATCTAGTATTATATTCATGATAATCACTATTATGTGAAAAATGTATTATGTATATCATGATCAGTTAAATTATTTAGACATTTGAACACATTTTAGACATGTAAGTTTACCGCTTTCTGTTATGGGAGATGGTATATCTTCAACCACGGAAGACTCTTCTTCAATTTGGCTGCAGTCGGAAAAAGCTGACCGACACCAATGATGCAATGAGGTCACATTCGCTACTCGTTGGCGTTGCTTTCAATGGAAACTGGTCAATAAGACTGAATAATTTCTATTACTAACGGTGGCGGACACATCGGAATTAAGTTATCAACATTTTCCAATCCCCTTGTTGCTACAAATTGTAATGATAATCTATTCTAATTATCAGGATATAAGGTTCTCGCTGCTCTCGTGGTTCAAAAACACCTTGTTATAAGTAACTTATTTTCTTCGTTAATTAATACGCAATTTTTGGAAAATATTGGGGGAAGAAGAACCAAATAAAACGGCCACCACTGGATCACTAATGTAGCCTTGTTACACGACAGTCCTGCAGGTTGCGGTCAATATTGAAAACAGCACTCTATCATCAAAATTGGCATAATGGCAATGGTAAAACTGTGAAATCTTGTAAAGATCAGCAGATCAGCCTCGTTTTTTTTTTACAAAAAAAATTATCATACTGCATGTAGTAGAAACTTCACAGAAATATTAACCTCAAAAGTTCATTAATGACTTTGTCATGCATCTTCATGGAATACTTACAAAACTACGCAGTTTTTGTACTATATGGCAAAATGCTGTCCAGTATGTTGTAAACAGAAGGCCACCAACCACATATTGAATAGTTTGATTGCACAAAAAAACATGCATGAAAAGTTTCCCAAAGTTTGATTTTACAAAACCAAAAACAAAAAGGTACAAACTACATGTCGATACTATATAATATACTGACTAAGTAATACTGTAATAATAATCGTTAAAAACTCTATTAATTCCAACATTACTGTATAAAACCTTCCGATAGGAAAAGTACCATTTTGAGAATATATCTATCTTGAATGATTCTCGCATGTTACAGCTAGAAACACTCGCCACTGAGAACCCCAACATCTAGGGATAGCCTTATTTTCATTGGTAATTCTCAAAAGTTATGACAAAGATATAAGGTTGAGACAGCCTACTTCCTGCCTTTCGTTTCTGTGATGCTAAGCGCTCGGGAGAGACAACTGATCCAGTCATGTGGGAAGGCTTGGGACTAGGCTAAGGTCAGGACATACCTTTGATGCAGACTTAATTATAGGATCTGCATTGCAGGTTAACCATACTAGCTAGAGTACACCACAGGTTACAAACTGTAATCTATTATGGTTAATTTATATACTAATTTATCAGCTGAGTCAATTGGAAGAGAAAAGGAGAGTGACTTTTGTTTGGTAACCATGAGACATACTGTACCAATTCCCACAATATTCCAATCAAAGTATAAGCCTATTTCCCACATCAATGATATCATTTTTTCACTGTTAAATTTGGGTATGATGCATTCAAAGTGGATAACTGGCTTATTTTAGTCATGATGCAAAGGCACATGATGCACAACCAACATACTGTACATCCTCACCCCTCACTGGGAAGAGATGATAGGGGATTTTGAAAATAAAGATCTTTTTGAAAATAAATCTTATCTTTGGGAATTACAGTAACAGATTGGCTAGTACCGGGTATTTTAGGTACTTGTCAATCAAACAGACAAGCTGCCCATGTTTATAAGGGAATGTTTTAATAAAACGCTGAAAATATTGAATATTTTAGTTACTTACAAAGCTTTTCTTCGATCTTATACAGTTTGGAAACGTTGTGTATTTGGAAATGTTCCTAGTTTGTGGGCTATGATCTGGACAACAAACTTGTCTGTTATTGTTGCTAAAATTTGCTTCAGTGTTTCATGACACTTCACAAGCTTCATCTTGGGATGGGTTTACAAGTTCCCAAACCAGCTTTCATAAGGTTGAAAAGTTCATAGATTTAGAATTTTTTCCAGAACCAGGGCGCGAAATAACGGCCGGTCAACGGACAATGTCCGGCCAGAATGCGGAGTTGCCCGGTCAAATTCTTACCTTGCCGGTCATTTTGACCGGTCACTTTCGGTAAAAGAACAAACTAATCTTCATTTTATAACAAGACGCCTGCTCAGACGTTCACACTGGCCTGAAAATGGCAACTTTCGTGGTACTGGGTGTAATGTGTAGTAGAGAAGTAGATAGGGATACAGGATCATAGGGATACTGTACTGGATCATACAAATACAACCAATAAATACAATCATGATCAGCAACTATCAACCATAATATACCAAGACGCCGGCTCAGACGTACCCTCCGGCTACGGGCAACTCAACCTGACAAGCCAGGCCCACTGTAATACTATGATCATCAACTACCAACCGTGAATAATGACGGGCCAATAATAGCGAAGAAATTATAGTCCTTGATTTTTAATGCCGTTCTATGGCTAGTTTCAGGTGCTAAAAAGTTCATAGACGTAGACAATTCTTCTAAAAAATACGCCAATTTGCTTCCATTTATAAGATAAACTGATCCCAACCCAAAGCCCTTCTCTAACCCCAACCAGTAAACATCTAATAAACAATTTGAGAATTAAAAAAGTGTGTGGGGGGGGGGGAGTTGGATCTTGTTCCAAAAACAAATAGAACCTATCACTTTCAATTCGCCGCACGCAACGCCATCTCGCTGAATGCAATCGAAAACATACATTTTATGGTAATATATGATGAATTAGAAAGTAATTTGGCGCAAATTAATGTAATTAGGTGCAAATTTATAATTATGCAAATAAATACAAGAACACAACGCATGTTTATGAGCCTACGTACAACGTATATTTATACTTGTTAATTAATTAAAAAGTCAAACTGTCAAACCTTTAACTTGTCCTTGTTTATATATTCCACTACATTGTTTTAATTCGCTGGGTCCAAATTTTGAAATTTTCAAGTCGTTACACAAAGAAAAACACACTAATTCAACATGCAAGAAAGGCCAGAGTGCGACACAACGTAAAATCCATAGGAAACCGGCACAATTCTTTGAAAATTCAACGAAACTGTGTGAAATATATATTAGATCGCTCAGTGAAAAGCCGCCATTTTGAAACTGAACTGAATATGTCACTGGAGCACGTTCCACCCTGAGCCTGTGATGACCTAACGCAAACTCCATTTCTCGTCGAAAACAGAAAAAGAGGGATTTAAGACACTTGGCCTACAGGCCAGTGTAATAATAATCAAAATAAAATGGTCAAGTACAGTATTATAATTAAGAACCATAACATGCATGTTGTCGAATATTTTGCAGGAAAACAACTCAATGTACACCAGTTTTCGCACGCAGTACGTCACAAAGCCCATGGGGCATGGCCATGCCTTTGGCTTAAGAGTGTAAAATACTTAGATTAAAACTCTCAAAGGACTCCTTTCTCCAAGGTTCAAGGCTCAACTCATGCGTGGTTCAGACTCATTAAAATATAAATAACACAAACTTTATTACAAAAACGCTGCCATATGAAAACTCTACGCTCGTCTCATTAGTATTCCATGTGTTCACAAAATAAACGTCATAGAATATTACGCAATCTCTAACACTCCCCCCGTTGACCAGTGCATGCAACTACTGGTCAACAAACAGTGAAACAACTAAACTACAATTACGTAGTCTACAAATTTGAATTATCAACGTTGTCAATGCAAGTAGTCTTTCTACTATCGCAATATCTCTACACTAGCTACTTAGCTGTCATTCAGTTCCTCGATCCATTTCCTTCGCCGTTCTTCTCCCCGCTTCGCCGCTTCACGTCTTGGTCTCTTTACTTCGACTTGGTTCATTTCATTTCCGATCGCTTCGTCAAGTTCGTTCTTTCCGTACCGATTTTCTTCAGCTTCCGAGTCGGACCTTACCTCTAGTGGGTAAAGTAACCGTACCGATCTTTTCAAAGTCGTCGGCCGTTTCCCCCTTTGGACTGATTCTAACGATCGCTCCCCGCACGTTTCCGTCCTCTCCGTTGATCAACCTTTCGACTTTGCCCAATCTCCAACATGCTCGAGGTTGCGACTCGTCGTGAACCACAACTATATCCCCCGCACGGATAGTTCCCTTTCCGTTGTCGTTCTTACCATTAAATATTCATCACGCCAACGGGTCCAGAAATGATTCATTAGTGTGCTCAAGTGCTTCATTCTTCGACTTAAGTCCTTATCGTTTAACGAGAATTCGGGATCTAATATGTCATTGCCAATGTCCTCGGTGTGAATTGCGCAGTTCCATTAAATGTTCGTCACGCCAACGGGTCCAGAAATGATTCATTAGTGTGCTCAAGTGCTTCATTCTTCGACTTAAGTCCTTATCGTTTAACGAGAATTCGGGATCTAATATGTCATTGCCAATGTCCTGCTCTGGCATACTCAGTAATCTTCGTCCCGTTAACAAATGTGACGGAGTGAGTGGTTCTTGTAGATCTTCGGTAGAAACATATGATATTGGACGGGAATTCAATATCATCTCCACTTCAGCGACCACCGTCAGGAGCTCTTCGTAAGTTAATTGAGCTCCTCCAACAGTCTTCTTTAAACACCTCTTGGTGGATTTGACAAGTCTTTCAAAAATTCCACCCCACCAGGGTGCCTTGGGTAAATTGAACGACCAGGTGATGTTCATGCCGACGAAGAATCGCCTTATCTCTGGATCTCTCAACATCGTTTTGATCTCCCGCGATGCCGCCTTAAACGTCCCGGCGTTGTCCGACACAATCGTTGACGGAACACCGCGTCTCGCGGTAAATCTCCGAAAACTTCGAATAAATCCTTCTTTTGTCAGGGTTGGTACAATGTCCAAATGCACTGCTCTCGTTACACAACATGTGTAAAGGCATACCCACACCTTTTCGCTCTTCTCGTGTGTTCGAACATAGAGCGGACCAAGGAAATCAATTCCTGTTGCCGTGAAAGGTGGTGTTTCTCGTACTCGAAATTCGGGTAGGGGAGGTGGTGGTGGAGCTTGATAGGGTTTGCCTTCGAATCTCCGACAAATAGAACACCTCCCGATCAACTTTCGCACAAACTGTCTCCCACGGACGATCCAGTACTGCGATCTTATATCAGTCAACGTCTCTTTGACTCCATTATGCATCACTCTTCTGTGGCTGTCGTAAACGATCAATGATGCGAAATAATGCTCTTTGTCAACTAGAATTGGATGCTTTGCTGACTGGGGTAGGTTCGCCTTTTCCAGTCTACCTTTGCACCTCCAGATGTCTTGCTCGTCAGTGTAAAGCCCAAACTCTGCCTTCCACTGTTCAAACTGGTTCTTCTCGGGCAATTTTCTTTGCATTTCTTTGATCCACAATTCTCTACTTTCACGAATCTCATTCACTGTTAAACTGGGCTCTACGTCTACGTCTATGTCACTCTTTCTGGTCTTCGCCTTCAATATCTTCACAAAACGTAAGACATAAGCCGTCACTCGCACCAGTCTGTCGAGGGTTCCAAAGTTCTCGATATTGATGATATTGCTAAGGGTTTGGGGTGTGGTGTTCACAATTAGGTTACCAGTTCTCGACTTGGTGGATCGAACTTCAACGAGACATTCCTTCGGAGGCGTAATTTCCTTCTCATCTTGACAAGAGTGTGTTTCAACATCGGTTAGCCACTCAGGGCCACAGCTCATTGCTTGTAAGCTCCGTCGGTTTTATTCCTCTGGATGGAATATCGGCAGGATTATCTCGACCGGGACAATGACGCCAGGTGGCTGTGGGTAAGAGGCTCCGGATTTCACTCACTCTATTTTCAATGAATTGTTTCCACTCCTTATTGCCATTTGTGATCCAGAAAAGTGCCACTTTCGAATCGCTCCAACAGACTGGATCATCCAACTTAATTTCATCTCGTAATGCCGTTTGAACATTCTTCACTAACCTTGCAAGGATCAAACATGATAGAAGTTCTAGTCTCGGAATTGTTTGTCTCTCGATTGGTGCGACTCGTGTCTTCGCTGCTAAGAACTTTACTCTGATGCCAATTGTGGTAATCATGACCAGGTAGGTTACTGCGGCGTACGCCGCCTTCGAGGCATCACCAAATTCATGGACAATGCAGGAGATAACTGGGTCGTCGACCTCTCGAAAATAGCATCGAGAAAGCCGAATGCGATTCATTTGTTTTAGTTCATTAACTAGATTGTCCCATTTTACTTTAAGATCATGGGGTACTTCATCGTCCCAATTCAACTTTCTCCGCACAGTTCTTGGAATAACATCTTGAATTGAACTGTTATTGGCGACATGAAGCCAATCGGATCATAGAACTTTGCAGAAAGACGGACGATATTTCGCTTTGTTGGGGAACACTCGGATGCCAATTCGGTCACATGACTAAGATCAAACACAAGATCATCTTCAACAAAATTCCACGCTACCCCGAGAACCTTGTGCTCTTCATTAGAGGATTCATTGGATGTTCCTAGCGTAATCTTCGAGTACGTTTCATCTTCATTTACGCAATCGTTTGGCGGTTCGTCCACTTGAGGGTTAGGCTTCAAATTAGTTCTAGGAAGAGGGTTCTCTTCACTTTTGATCTTCGTCAACAGTTCGGGCGAGTTGGTAACAAACTTCCGAAGGTTAAATCCACCTTCTGCCAATCTAAGCTTTGATTTCTTGTAAAGAGTGTAGGCAGATTTGTCATCATCCCCACCCGAGTTTAGATCATCTACATAAACAGCTCGCATGAAGGCTTCGACAAAGGCAGGATCTTGAGCGCGGTACTGTTCGATATGGTGACTGATAGTCGCATTCAGTAAGAACGGGCTGGATGATACTCCGAATACTACACGCGTAAATCTCAAGACAATAATCTTAGGTTGGTCACTCCAAACATCATCGAACCAAAGAAACCGTAGAACATTACGATCAGCTTCTGAAACTGCTATCATCAAAGAAGCCTTCTCTATATCACCCGCTAGTGCTACTTTGTGGCTTCGAAAACGAAGAATAATGTCCATGATGTTATGTGTCATTGCGGGCCCAGTATAGAGGCATTCATTCAAGGACGGACCAGATGTTTTGGCGGATGCATCATACACAATTCTTAGCTTGGTTGTCTCTTTATCTCGCCTGATCACAGCGTGATGAGGAATATAGTGAACTTTTCCGAGCTCTCCAATATCTTCTTTCTGAACAATCTCGACAACGCCCTTGGTAAGTTGATCCTTTATTACTGCATCATACTCCTTTAAGACTTCGGGATCACGTTTCAAGCGCTCGAGTAGACTCCACAGTCGTTTACGACTCATTTCATAGTTGTCAGGCAGTAAAGGATGGTGCTCTTTCCATGGCAACTCAACGGATATCTTCCCGCCTTGAAACCTATGGTACTTGTGAATTCTTCAACAACCGACTTCTCTTCCTTTGATATACCGAGTGACTCCAAATCCCAGAATCGTCTCAGTTGTTGGTCATCTTCGTGGTGCATTGGTTGGGATGGTGGGGTTTCAAGCTGCAAAACATGAGTGGATGACATGTTTACAGATGCTTCCAATCTCTGTTGTGAATGGTTCTCGACTGGTCCGGACAGGACCCATCCAAGGTTGGTGTTGATAGCTGTCGGACCATTTGTTCCCTTTCGAATCTCTCCTGTCACTATGTCCCAATACTGATCACAACCGATAAGTATGTCCACTTCCGAGTCAAGTTCTCCCATTGAATCATCAGCTAATACTAGGTCATGTAAGTGAGGGTAATTGTGGCGGGATTGTGAGACAAGTTGGTATTGCAGTGGTTCACATATGGTGGGTACAACAAAGGCTGACAAGGACAACTGTACCTTATCAGTGTGACTTTCTAGAATAAAATTGACTGAATCACAGGTGGTTAGATTTTCTTCTCCAGAACCGAAAGTTTTTATTGACATTGTTTCAGTTCGCTCAGTGGGTAGGCTTAGTAAATCTTGTGTCCGACTGGTGATGTAGGACCTCTGGCTTCCGCCATCTAGGATAACTCTCACGTTCCCACTCTTACCATTTCTACTCACAGGAAGGATTGTTGCCTTTGCAGTTTGAAGAAGTATTGGGGTCTTGGTACTTGTAAACAATGATTTTGTGCCACTATTCCCTGATTGATTTGATCTACTGGGTTTGTTGCTTGAGATTTTGCTCTCAGAGGTTTGTTCATGCTGTTGTTGCTTAAGCTCTGTATCGGATGGGGTCTTCTGGGCATGGTTATGACTGCTATTCTTGGTGCATATACTTATGTGGTGTTTACCATTGCATTTATGACATCTTGACTTAGAGTTGCAATCACGACTTAAATGATTTTTTCTCAAGCAGAGAAAACATCGTCCACTTCGCTTTATAATGTCAATTCGTGCTGTGATGTTAGAGACATTGGTGCAACTATTTGAGGTATGTGACTGCTGACAGTAGGTGCATGTCGGTGATGTACCCCCTGTCTGCAAGGTTGAAATTGAGGGTTGTGGTTTGGAAAATTTCTTTGTTTGGTAATGGGGCCAAGTCTCCCTGTTGGTATTTGCAGTTGCTCTTTCTCGGGCCTCTAGCTCCTTCTCAATCAACTCAAGCAAGTGTCCCAATTCCCAAACATCTCCTTGTACTTCTCGACTCACTATTATGCACAATTCCTGAGGTAACTTATTGAGTAACATTGAGCATAATAGATTGCCATATGTTTCTGCCTGTACCCCAAGTGATTTCAAAGCTCTGATATGAGATTCTACAGTGTCATAAAGTGTTCTCAGTCCCTTTAAGTTATGTGGAGAAGTAACTGGCTCTAGATTTAACAGAATATCCATGTGTTTATTGATTGCAAGCTGTTTGTTACCAAACCGCTTCTTCAATATTTTGATGGCTTCTTCATAATTTAGAGTGGTTAAGGTTAATCCTGCAATTGCATCTGCTGCTGTTCCTTCCACAAGTGACGAGAGGTAATTAAATTTATCAATACTTGATAGTGTGGGATTGTTGTGAATTGACGACTCAAAAGTATCCCAGAATGTCGCCCAAGATGTGGGATCTCCCCGAAATGCCCTAAGATTTAACTTTGGCAACTTTACTGTGGGTATTTTGGTGTAATTATTCATGAAATTTGAAGGGTCAGCTTGTATACTGTTGTCACCATGGTTACTGGCAGTTTCTGAATTATTCCCTGTTATGGATGTAGTGGGTTGCGTAGGGGTAACTGGGGTTATGACATTGTTTTCAGTATTCAATTGTGTAGTACTTGATTTCTCATATTCATCTAAAGCCATTTGTACTTCAATAATAACAGACTCGATTTTCTCTCGTGAAATATCCCCTTGCTCAATCTCTAACTCTATGTCCTCTACACTTACCAGCGCCAAAATAGCTTCATCTTGCTCTCGGAGTGATTTCAACTTCGCTTCGAGTGTTGACTTTTGTTGTTTTAACTTCGCAATATGCGGAGTTAACTGCGATTTCTCCGCCACACTCATAAGAGTTTCGCCTATAGACGCCATAATTCGTTTCGCTGAGGTTCTATGTCCGTTTCGACATCTTTTCTTTCGAGTCAACTCTTCTTTTTCGGCCATTGTTCAGGATTTATGTATCAGAATCTTTTCAATATGGCGGCTCAAATTCAGATGTATAAACTCACGTATTATTTTGTAATATCCGGCTCGGAAGGACCATGTAAAATATTTAGATTAAAACTCTCAAAGGACTCCTTTCTCCAAGGTTCAAGGCTCAACTCATGCGTGGTTCAGACTCATTAAAATATAAATAACACAAACTTTATTACAAAAACGCTGCCATATGAAAACTCTACGCTCGTCTCATTAGTATTCCATGTGTTCACAAAATAAACGTCATAGAATATTACGCAATCTCTGACAAAGAGATAAGACCATGCTTTTAGCACAGTACAAGCTGTTTTATGTGTTTTATGTGAAGGAATTTTTAATTACTGATTACAGTAAGGTTTTTTGTACTGCTATACTGGGGAAATGGTCACATTTTTAGGGGTATACTTTACTAGGCTTTGCTTTAAGCTGAATAATTTGACCGGCCAGAATTTCGGCATGTCCAAGCTAAAATTGAGTTGGCCGGCCACCTTGACCGCCGACCCTCCAGCCGTTATTTCGTGCCCTGAGAACACACATAGCAAACTATAACTAACAGACAATGTTTAGCCAAAAAACCTAGGACTACAATTTGTGTATGGCTTTGTCTTTGAAATATATTTTCAGAACAAACATACAATGTAGGGCTGAATAGCTTCCCTATCTCTTTTAATCTTTTTTATTTGTACTAGCATTTATAATATTTGTGACATTCTTCCACATTACAGCTGCACATGAGTATAGGAATATTGTAAGATATACTGTAGTCACTTTTGATTTAAAATGCAACCTCTCATTAGTCTAGAGCAAACAGGTTTGACATTAAAATTATGAACTTTCAAAGTCAGTCATGCGATATATTTGTGGGTGATACTTTTTTACTTTTAGTTTGTATATCATTCAATACTCTTCTTTAGGTATTAAAAATGTTGTTTACATTTGCGATTTTTAGTACATGTGACATACGGATCGAGTTACATTACTTTGATGTTGTTGGGGGCTTAATTCAATTTATACAGTTTTGCGGCAAGCAGTTTCTCTTGCCCATATTTTGGCTTCCTGTGCCTCACTTCCCTAATTTTCGCTGCCCATGCCTCTACTTCGGTAGTCAATTTATCCCGGGCGTTCTGTGACCCCCGTCCGCGATCATATCAGATCATGTCAGCGGCATCTGGTAATTACTGTACAATAACATCGCCCAAAGTTCGAAGTTTTATATTCAAAATTCCAAAGGAATTTTATCGTTCAAAATCGCTGAATATTTTTCATCTACAACTTTAGAAAGTGGAAATATTTCCAGATGCATGGGCCCTCATCATTCGAATATTTACCATCAAACAACAAATATGACTGGTTTATAGTTTATTTTGTCTAAACTGATACATTCCCATGCACATGCAAATTACATCCTCTGAGAAAATCCACAAACTAACCCCTCTGAAATTTGAAATCGTTGACGTGGCTAGAAAAACAGTAAATGCCATACCATCACAATATTTACTAAATGTCGGCGGATCCTTTTATTTATATATGTTACTGTATATTCTGTAGATTTTAGATTTTCTGCATTTGTATTTTAGCGAGTGCCGGTGGCGTGGTTGTCTAGGGCGTTGCGTGCATTCTTACATGCTGCTGATTGGTGGTTCGAATCCCGCAATGGCCAATGTTTTGTTTTTCGTTCTCATATTTTTTTTCTTTAAGATTTTTCCTAAGATTGCCTTTACAATACAGGAGAGTTACTATTGTATGATTATAAATTACTATTATTAAATTGCCCCCTTCTTTCAAAATTCGATACTGAATTATTTTTTAATAGTCGAGGCCATTTTGTAGTTTGCAACTTCGCGGCAATTTCCAATTTCCATAATTGTGTTAATTAATGCTTAATGTTGAGCCACTGACATCATCTGATTTGATCGTGGACAGGGGTCACAGAACGCCCGGGATAAATTGACTACACTTCAACACACTGAAGATCTTCTACTCACAATTTTTCCATCTATGGCACTTTACTTTATCAGAGAAGAAAACTTTAGTGCACATGCAGTTAGCAAATTTAGCAGTCTGGTCAGCCTGGTTTGTACTTTGTACTAGGGAAGGGTTATCTGTCACGATTCATCACTGTCAAATTAATTGAACAGACAAGTTCAAATAGCACAATCTAGACTGCTAGCTTATTACTGTAATATCGGCAATATAGCTAATACCCTTAATATATGTAAACAAACTATATACCAACTGACAAACTATATTTACACAAATTTGTCCAGAAGGAACATCTGTTCGTATTGCAAATTTCTAGAGTCATTTTACGCATTCAGTGATGTTTCATGTATCAAGTGTCACGTGCGGTATACAAGTGTCACGTGCTGTGGTATATATAGGCATTAGAACGTGTTTATATCAATCCCTATTAAGATTTTAGTGTGACCTTGAAAATCAGAAAGAATTTAATGAAATTATAAAATGAAATAAAACACAGAGAGAAAAACCTACGACATATCATAAGCTCCAATCTGTGAATCCTCGACGCCCAAACCTGAGAGATTAAATAGATCAGCTGCCAAACCTCTAGCCAGATCATCCTCTCGCCAATTCGTGTTTGACATTTTGACCATGAAGACAAGCTAGGATTTGAGATCTAACAATACACAGCAATCCTACAAGCAAGATTTCCTGGTTAAAAGAAGACGTAGTATAAATTTCTGTCTTGGTTCAAGCAGAACACCTGCACTAATCTTGTTTTCCATTGAACAAAACAAAATATCGCGAAAGAACCTCATTCGTGATTCCAATTTAATAGCAAAACAGAACCAGTCCTCAATCACTTCGCGCTCTTTTCCCGACGATATACGAAATAATACGACACGACGACGAATGTAGAATATCGAGATTCAGAGCGAGATTCGAGAGTAGTGGGTAGAGGGTCGAGAGTCGACACTATTACAGTAATATTCCATTCGTAGGGATCATAACCTACGCCGTGGACCCCCCACTGCCCTCCCCCCAAGCAGAAACACGTTTCGTGATCAGGCCGGACGCTTATGTATGGTGCTTTGGTGGGGAAAGAGAATATCCCACACTTTTTATATATGGATATTTATTATATGGATATGAGTAAAATACCGTAAAATACGCCACTGATATTTTCCGTATTTCACTATAGTGAAATATGAAATCATATCTTACGCGGGAACGTCTCGCGCGGGACCCACGCTAATTCCCGCCATTTTGCTGTTTCTGTTTTGAATATACAATATGACAACTTCTCGACATTTTGTTGATGTTTTCGACGCTGATTTGGCAAGGTTTTCTGAAGAAAATGAAAACACAAAAAGGAAGACTAATTAGTCCTATTTGGCGATCTTCAGCGACTATTTAGCCTCGATTAGCAAGCGGAGAGACATAAACATTGTTGCCGTACGGTGAGCTACAAAACAAAAAACAAAACATGAATAAACTAATAAAGTCATACGTTTTTTTGTTTTTGCTTCAACTTTTATCCATATAATAAAAAGAACATTTCACGGTGCCTTTGGAAATATAACTTTTATTGTTTATTGTTTTCACCACTCGAAAATAAAAGTCATATTTCCGTGCCACCGTGAAATATCCTCTATATATTCTTACTTTATGAGCGTGGCATATCTCAACCAGACTGAACCAGTCAACTAAGGGACCGGTCATTATTTATGGCGAGGGAGGGTGCACGGTAAAAATTTTGCTGATCCAACCATTGAAAAGTCAAAACAATTTTTACCCAACCTCAAATACGAATTAAAAAATAGTTACCCACTCCTGGCCAAAAACTTTGCAAAAGGATACCCGTCAGTTGTCACACATGTCTTTTTTAATACGCCTTTACCAAGTCTGTGGCATGAGTTTGATAACTGCTTGTGCAAATTCCTGCAGGCTAAAGTTTCATGTTGTCTAACTTGTCTGTATATGAGACTCCATGCATTTGCCTCCTGACAAATCGGAAATGATCAAGATAGTGACGACTCCGATTGATTTAAATATCGTATTGGCATATGACTGTTGACATTGCTTTTTAGTCTTAATCATGCTTCGAAAATGATAATAAATGTTTATTATTTGTTTTTCATTTACCCAATCTTTAACTCTCTCAAAATGTTCTTTTCCCAACCCTTTTCTCTTCGGTGATACCCTCCAATAAATAATGACCGATCCCTAATTTCGGAGATAATCTGACTGAAGTGAATTGAGATCCATTGACTCCTGATAATTGAGCCTAATGGACCTTTCCCTTTAGATATACCTTGGCAACAATTTCATCACAGCTTGAAAGAACATCACAAAATTAGTAATATTCCGAAGTTTCGTTGCGAAATGTTGTAAAATGTGGATAATATAGCCCAGTGGCGTAACGTTATATCAGGGGGCCCCCGGTTCAAAATTTTCGAAGGCCCCCCTAGTAGAAGTGCCAAAGGCACGAGTCGAGCGCCGTATATGCACGAATTTTCTAGGGGGTCCAGGGCATGCTCATCCGGAAAATTTTTGAATTTAGACTCTCTGAAATGCCATTTCCTGGACTTTGGGGAGAGATTTTACAGAATTCTGATGGTCGTAAAACTACATTGTAACATATCAGAGGCCCTGACCAATGTTTTTGCTCTATTGCCTAAGCCTGGGGGCCCCCATTTAGGTTGGGGCCCCCGGGTTCTCACGGTCTGAGCCCATAGTAGTTACGCCACTGATATAGCCTTGCGAAGTTTGCCGTTTTTCAGTCATTTTGCATTAGGGGAGCATTCATTTTTTAGCTGGGGGGGGGGCAGGAGGAATTTGGGGGGGGGTCAGCCAATTTTGACATGCTTCAAAGGGGTGGGTCTTTTTATAGTTTTGGTATAAATGGAGGGGGGTCATAAAAATAATCAGTGAAAAAATCACCAATATAATTTTACAGAATTTGGAAGCGGCTACATTATCCATGACAAACTGCAAAGAATGAATATATTACCCACAGTTTCCTGCAACTTATCCTAGTTATCCAATATATAGTTAATTAAATACGCCTTCGCCCATTTAGTACTACCAAATTGTAAATTTTGACATACTAAAACACTGTTTTCTGATCATCAGAATCCTGTCAAATCTTCCCCAAAGTCCAGGAAATGCCATTGCAGATTCTCTAGATTAAAAAATTTCCTCGGGCCTTTGGCCCTCGCTTACAGCCCCCCCCCCCCCTGCCAATCAATAAGAGCTTCATACGGCCCTGGAACGCTACAGAAACGACACTGTGTGGATTATTTGATGAGGGGTCAACAAATTTTTCGGTAAAAAAAATAGGGGGTCATAATCTTTTATCAACTTTTCTCTCGGGGGTTGCAAGTTTTAGCATGGAATTAGACATGAGTTCCTCCGGCCCACCCCACCCCCCAGCTAAAAAATGAATGCTCCCTTACAATCTAACGTTTTGCTAACACATGGTTTCATTATCCGCATTTTACAACATTTCGCAACGAAACTTCGGAATATTACTAATTTTGTGATGCTCTTTCAAGCTGTGATGAAATTGTTGTCCAGACTTGTCTAGATCAAAATTTCACTCAAAAAGGGGTTCCATTTTCGTGTCACGCAGTCACGGAATATGACGGAATATGATTGGTTAGGAGGTTAGGGTTAGGGATGGGGATTGGGTGAGGTTTCATGATTGTGTGACATGAAAGCATAACCCAAAAAGGGAAAGGTCTATTGACTCCATATTGACTCCATGAACTCCTTTTGGATCACGTGTCCCACGACCCTCGAATTTCGCACACTCCACGAGGTGAGATTTTCCCGCCAAATTCATCACGTGTAAAGTAAAATTTTATTTGGAGAAAGAAATCAACATGGACGTCGCGGATAGAACGACTGGAGGTGCTCATCTTCGTGATCAGTTAGCTGAACGATGTCAAAAACTGTTTCAGGAGTTTCTTGAAGAGTAAGTTGCCGTAAAACAGTTACTGTGTTGCGTTTAAATGATACCATGTGTTAGCAATCTTTAATATTGGATCGGTTTGATATATTTTATAGCTTTAATAGCATATTTTTGTTGTGAGATATACATGTATGTGAAACGCAGTTGTACAATCTTTGAACAATATGGTTTTATATATAGTAGAATTATTCTTTAGCAGTTGAAGATATTTCATGTTTAACTGAATATTGTGTCCCGAATAATATCTTCAATTATTGAGTTTAAATGCCAAAATATGACAACAAACACTGCCTGGTGGACATGAGCACCCAAATGACCAATAGGGGAAATATAGATAAATGGGTAGATATAGCAGCCCTCTGACTACCCACAGAGGAAGTTGGAAGTCAACCCCCTTTGGATGTCCTAACACATTACTATTAGCAGAAACAAATTGGGTCATTCCAGAAAAGATCCACACTCCCCCCACAGAGGAAATTTCTGCCGTCCGGAGGGGGAGGGGAGAAAAAATTGTTTTTGATAATAGTAAGTGTATTAGGACATCCAAAGGGGGTAGGGGCGTTAACTTCCAATTTCCTCTGTGGGGGAGGTATATGGATGTTTTCTGGAATGACCCATTTTTTTCTCCCTACCCCCTCTGGACGGCAGAAGAGATGGAAGAGAGTCTCTGTGAGGGAGGGAGTGTAGATCTTTTAAAGCCGGTTTCCATTAATACATCCGCTTTAATAATGTGGAAAGCGTCATCAACAAGAATCTCAGTTGAAATACCGTACTACAGTACCGCTCGCATATATCTTAACATACGATACGCGTGTCATACGCGTATCGTATGTTAAGATATATGCGAGCGGTACGCGTATCATAGAATACGCGTATCATACGAATATGCGTATCGTACGAATACGCGTATCTTACGAATACACGTACCATACGAACGTGCGTATCATACGAATACGCATTCATTAAAAACAAATATTAGGGCGCTATAAAAGACGTGTTTTATAGCGCCCTGCAAATACGCATATCATATACGCACTATTATAATTCGCGTATATTAATTCCGAAACAGGTATACTGTAGATACACTTATATTGGGAGTTCTAAACTGAGCTACAATACAATACTCAATGAGCATCAATCTACTGTATAGTTGGATTTTAGATGCTGATAATAATAATAATTGTTGATTAAATAACTTGGGCCACCACCTGTTTCGTGAACATTACTTTCAGACTGTTTGTAGATACGCGTTTGGACAATTTAGTTTTTGAAAGTTAATAAAACAGCCAATGAAAGCAAATTTTAAACGATATGTAGACCAAATAACTGAAAATGTTATAGCGCTTCTAAATATTTGAAAAATTTAAACTAGGATCAAAGTTTAATATCGTTCAATGAAAATCGAAAAATCGCGTCGCGTTGTTGAATCGTGTCCGGTGTGTATGGACCTTTAAGCGGCAGCGTAATCGGCTCTATATTGTATCGAAGAGAGCACTTACTACCTGAATAGAGTTTTGTATAACGTATATCATTTTCAATTATCATACGCGTATATGCAAGTATCAAATGTAGTTTTGAACGTAGTCGATAGCATACGCATACGCGTATTCATATGCTACGCGTATTCGTTGATACGCTACGCGTATTCATATGATACGCTACGCGTATGATACACGCGTATCATACGCAAAAAAGTGTTAAGATATACGCGAACGGTACTGTAGTTGAAATACAGTATTACAGCAGCTGATTTGTGCATACGCATACGCGTATTCATATGCTACGCGTATTCATATGATACGCTACGCGTATGATACGCGTATCATACGCAAAAAAGTGTTAAGATATACGCGAACGGTACTGTAGTTGAAATACAGTATTACAGCAGCTGATTTGTATGGCAGTTACAATGGCATATCAAAACTGTATCCATATGATACGCTACGCGTATGATACGCGTATCATACGCAAAAAAGTGTTAAGATATACGCGAACGGTACTGTAGTTGAAATACAGTATTACAGCAGCTGATTTGTATGGCAGTTACAATGGCATATCAAAACTGTATCTCAAGCTGTTTTCCATTTGCAGTTTCAAGGTTGATGGCGAGAACAAATATATGAATGAGATTCAAGAACTTATTCAACCAGAAAGAAATACCCTGGCTGTTAGTTTTAATGACATTGAAAGTCACAACTCAAAACTAAGTACAATCATTCAAGAGGAATACTACAGGTACTGGTATATATACATTCAGAATATGTTACAGGTAGAGTATTATGGTCAAGCATTTACAAATTGAGTCCAATATACTGTAGTCCAAAAAAACGTGGTCTGACAAAACGTCAAAAAAGGAACTATAAAAAGTTGCTTATTTTGCTTACAGTGCTGTAAAAGTTATTTATTCTTTGGAACTAGTTATAGTGTTACAGTTACAGTATATGCTTAAAAAAGGAACTGTAAAAGTTAACATATAACGTTACGTAGCTAGTTACCGACATATGTAACTAGTTTGGAAAGCGAGTCATTGCTTATTTTGCTTACAGTGCTGTAAAAGTTATTTATTCTTTGGAACTAGTTATAGTGTTACAGTTACAGTATATGCTCAAAAAAGGAACTGTAAAAGTTACACATAAAAAAAAATGTAGCTAGTTACCGACATATGTAACTAGTTTGGAAAGCGAGTCATTGTATAGTGAATCAACCACATTAACATAATAAAAGTTGGTAATGTAAAGAAAATAGCAAATACTATCATTACGAAAAAATTATTTTTTCATTCCATTTTACTGTCGTTCCAATTGAAGTGTTGCTCAAATATTGATTCAATACATTACCTCAGGCTGACCAATTCATTTCATCAAGTTCCTCGAGATATTCATACACTTCCTGTGAAAGAGCTAATTCCAAGTATTTGATCATTTCTGGTCACTTCCTTTCTATTTATGATTGGTTAGTTGCACAAACAACAAAGGTGATTGGTGCATTCAAACTATTCAACAGGAAGTTTACAATTATACTAGGAAGTGTATGAATATCTCGAGGAACTTGATCAAATGAATTGGTCAGCCCGAGGTAATGTATTGAATCAATATTTGAGCAACACTTCAATTGGAACGACAGTAAGCCAAAATGTAATTAGTTATAGTCTAGGCCCTCTGCTCGTCTTCCTTTGGGGTGGGGGGGTGGGGGTTTGAGCAACAAAAAATCTACCTGATTTTTACTTAGTTCATAATTTTACCTGAAAATATCTAACTTTTTAACCACTAGATTAAAATTAATATTTCTTTTCCCAAGATTGTTGCGAGGGGGGGGGGGGCGGGTTAAAAAATTTTCTGGACATTAGATTTTTCATTCTCTCAAATATTGTAGTATTGGCCCTGATGCATTACCTGAAATACATTATTCACAATTATTGGGGGTGACACGACCCCCCCCCCCTATATGGCCCTGATTAATGTTGCATTTACCTCTTTTCAAAATGTAATATAACTATAGTAACAATTACTTGTCATGTTGTTACTTGTAATGAAGTTACTTACAGCACTGTAGGTCAGATATGATTGAACATTAATTATTTCTAGCGCTCAAAAGAAAAAGTTGTGTAGTACATGCATGAGTACAGTACGAGTAGGAGTGAGAAATTTTTGTTGGGAGATGCAGCCCTCTCAGTGATTTGCTCAGAAAATGATTGTTCAGATTTTACACTATGAGCAATATTTTCTTGTGAACTCCTTTTACTGTACATGTATAACTAAGTTTTTAATTCAAAAATTTCTTGAAAGGGAATTGTTGACAACAAATAATATATTATTTTATAAGAAAAATTATCAAGTTGCGATAATTCATGTACTTGCATACTGGACTTCCAGAGGTTACTTCTGTGCCAATATTCACAGGAAAAATTTTCAAAATTCCATTAATGGATTTGAAAGTGTGAAATAATACATTTGCCATTAAGAATTCCCATCAATGGGTAAGGCGAATAATTTACATCAATGGTTTTCATTATCATAATCGTTAATGGTTTTAAGTACTTATAACCATTAATGTAAAAAGGAAAATATCACAAATTCTATGAATGGGTAATGGCTTAAAAATATCATTGTAATTACTCTTTTCCCACAAATGATATGAATGGTTTATGTCCATATTACATTACAGTTATTATGCTTTTTCCATGAATAATATGAGTGGGTTATATCCATATTACATCATGGTAATTATTCATTTTCCATGAATGATATGAATGGATTATATCCATATTACACCATGGGTTTTTTTGCTGAATGCATTAATGGTAAACATGGGCAAAAGATTTGTCAATCAATTTCCCATCTATATTGTTTTTCGTTTACAGTAATTTTTTCTCCCATTAATGGAATTTATTGATATTCCACTATGGAATTAACGTTAACCATGAATGGGTTTCACACATACCAAATGATTAACCATTAGCGTGTATTACAATAACCACTTTGGCACTTTTAATATCATGGGTTTTTTGCTGAATACATTAATGGTAAAGTGGACAAATGATTTGCAAATCATTTTCCCATCTATGGTTTTCAACAATTTCAATGGGTTTAGAAGAAAATCCATTTTCCAATGATAAACCATCAATGGTTTTTCCTCTTCTTTTCTATCCTTTTATTAATGGTATTTTTTATGAATGGTATTTACTGATATTCCATTATGATATCAACATTTACCATTAATGGAATTTTGAAATTTTTCCCTGTGATTTATACAGTCTCGTACGTCATTTATTTTCAGCCAAAAACCGGTAGGTACCCTCATTAGACATATACTGTATGCACTCTTGCTACAGTATATGCATATTTACATTATGCTTGTAATACAACCAGCAAACTTTCCAAGGTATGGAAAACATACCATCATTTTACCAGTGCAAGTACACATTATCACACATACCCTGATCATGTATATATGGTTTATTCAACAAGCAATACCAGTATAACAGTGAAGAGAAAAACAAATGGTGGTTTGCTATTTGGTTTACAAACACTGCCATAGACAGTAATATATAACCCCCAATCCAATATGCAAAATATTATCATATAATACAACCTAGAACACTGAAAAAACTTGTTTCTTGTGACATTCAGAATACTATTGTTTATAGAGTGTACCAATACTTATGCAATGCTGTAAGAAACTTCACCCATGACAGATTCTCCAGTGACACAGGACAAATACCTCCTGGGAAAGATTTTTATGTCAGCATTACAGAATTGCCAACCAGACACAAGTAAGTAAATGAATGAAAGAGAAAATGATCAACCATATTAGAACTCTGTAAATTTTGCAAATATTTGAAGCAACCAAAAATCCTTAAAATCCACACTTGTCTAGACGACTAAGTTGTTAATTCACCTCTATATTTGTACTGTTTGCTGCCAAATACTTATTTGTAATTGGGATAAGACATAATTTTCCTATACTGTAACTGAATACATTTTACCCATTGTAGAGCTAGCACATACATACTCTCCCCTTGACAAGTAAAATCATCTGGCGTTAGAGAGAATAAAATAATAAAGTAGGACACAATCTAACATAATGGGTTAACTATAGACATATGGACAGATAGTCTGATTAACCCATTGAGCAACAGAGTTTTCCCCTTGACAAGTAAAATTGTCTGGCGTTAGAGAGGATAAAATAATAAAGTAGGGCACAACCCAGCTTAATGGGTTAACTATAGACACATGGGCAGATACTGTACAGTGTAGGCTGATTAACCCATTGATCACCAGAGTTTTCCCCTTGACAAGTAAAATTGTCTGGCATTAGAGATGATAAAATGTTATAAAGTAGTACGCATTAGGGCACAATGCAACCAATGGGTTAAAGTTGAACCCCATGTAAAACACTTAACTGAAATCAACCTATTTCAATTATTTTCCTTAAACAAATCTAATATTGTTTTTTTCAAATATAAAGTATAGGTTGTTGTATGTGGCAGTGCCATTCACCCCCTGTGACCTGAGTTTGCTTCTTACAGTTGTCTATAGTTTCAGTCATATATGAATACTTAGACATGCTTTTCCTGGCAACTTCACTTTCCTCCTGAGTCTCCTGTAATATAACACATTACAGTAGAGTTAAAACAGATAAAACTATCCAATGTAACTATGTAAGTAAAATAAGCTTACTTAAGCTTACTGTACAGTAGGTCAGTTTGAATTACACAGATTAATACAGTAAGTTATATACTACTGTATTTACACAAGATGTGAGGAAAGAGGCCAGGGCCTAGGGAGAAGTAAAAGGTAAACCAGAAGCAACGGAATGAACCTTGATTTTCTGTTTTGGATCATGGTAGAATTCCTTTGCTTGGACTTGGTGCAGGATCCTAATATAAATACTTGTAGGATCTTGTTACTGTTATTGTCATGCAACAATCTTGCAAAAAAAGAAAAAGAAGTTCATTAGGACGGAGTGAGATGAAGAAGATGTCAATAATCACAATAATTGAATGATTTTAAATAGAAATAATCCTGTTGACTATAAATTGAGTGCATTAATTGATCGTTATCACACACGATTTGACATACGGAAGATCCCAAAACACACATGTTCTTCTGTTTTCTTCGCTGGATGAAAATTCAACGAAAACCATGCTGCGTGGAATGTGTCCGTGATCCGTTTCTTGAGTGCATTAATTGATCGTTATCACGAAGCAAAATTTCGAGTAGTTTGAAGGATATTCTGTTAGATGTGGATTACAATAAATTCATAATAGAGCGATCTCATCTCACCACGTCATGGTGAAATGATGGAAGAAGCACTTCCGAGTTCCGATTTTCCAAACGTTTCGAACACACTTGGTTTAATATAAATCCAAGACTATTAATCACACTAAATCAATAAAGAAAGACTATAATTCATAAAAAAGACTACGGAAAACATCCATTCACAAGTTACATTGTACAATATACTCAGTATGAATTTCTTGGTTGGTGCGCGATTCTTGTCAAACAGAGATGAAAATATTGTAGATTGCAATCAGTTGCAGATTTATGAGCAAGATTAACAACGATGGATTCGACACAATGATGGATTCGGCCCATGAATAATTGTCATTATTTATTACATAGAATTCGTGAGCTGACGTCACAGAAGATTGGAACATTACTCCGTATCACAGGTCAAGTTGTGAGAACGCACCCAGTGCATCCAGAACTCGTCAGTGGAACATTCGTATGTCTTGATTGTCAGACGGTTGTCAAAGATGTTGAACAGCAATTTAAATACACCCAGGTACTGTCAGGACCGCTCATATATTTGTTTTCTCACTTGCTAAAACAACGAAAAATTTGTGGTTTTGAGTGAGTAACGTTAAGATTGGTTAAGACTTTAAAAAGGGGTTTTTATGCGGGATGCAGCTGGAGGAATTTGAAGGCGAGGAGAGGAGCGTCCACCCACTTGAAACTCCCCCCGTCCGCATTTTCACGCATCCTTTAAAACAACCAAACAAGGACCGTTTTGAGAGGCAGAGGACTTCAAAATATGTGTTACCAGGTTTACTATACCAACTGCATTTTTTAACTTCATTACTCTGCATGCACTTCTAAATCTGTATTTTTCATTGCATTCATAACATTTATCCATTGCATTGACAAGAGAATAGCTAGAAGTACAGTAAAATGGAGAAGGACGTTTTTGTTACAAAATTCCTTTGATTTTTCCTAACCCGCATTCATCAAAATCTTGTCAATTTAGCGTCTTTTTTCTAATGACACATCTCTTTTCAACAAGAACTGCATCCATTCTTATTTGCTACAGTAAATAAGCTTAGCTAATTACCAATTAGCGAAGTAAAAGTTGGATAAAACGATGATACTCGTATAGTAAAATGTTTCTTTAACCCTCCTACTTTCTTGCCTACTTTCTTCTGTAATATGATTCTACATACTTACTGTAATGATTCTGAAAATCCTGCGACATTATCCATGTACAGGGCAAAATATACACGTACGGCCTATACACGTTTGGGTTTATTGCCTGCAGCAGTATACTGTAACTACATACATAACGTTTTCTTGCACTTTTAACAGCCGACTGTGTGCAGAAATCCTGTTTGTCAAAACAGATTACGCTTCATGCTGGATGTAAATAAGTCAAAGTTTGTAGATTTCCAGAAAGTGAGAATTCAAGAAACTCAAGCTGAATTGCCACGTGGTTGTATACCCAGAAGGTATTGTCTACAGCAAAGATGCAGTAGAGTCAACGTATAAATATGTATTTCGCATACGTAGTATGGCTTTATTATACTTTAATAGTGCTTGATTTAGCGGTTTATTAAATCTCAGTCGTGAAAACTTCATACTTGGTTATTGCCTTTTTGTATCAACAATACTCGTTTTGACGAAAACGCGTTCCATTTCCTAAATAATGGTACAATGACCAATGTATGAAAATGTCTCCAAATGGTGGTTCTGTAACTTAATATTTTTAAAAGAACATGAAAATTTATTTAGCCCCCAGCCTTTATTTAGCCCCCCTTTCTAACTATCCTCCAGTCCAGAACCACTGGAAAAAATAAGCCCCCGGAGGGCTATATGTACAGGTAAATACCTGTACATATAGCCCTCCGGGGGCCTATTTTATGTACGTGGTTGAATTGTGACGTTTCATTTTGTACCTCTGTCGTCGCAACGGTGTATTTTGTTGCTTTTATGCAGCTTGGAAATTGTTTTGAGGGCGGAAACAGTCGAGCAGGCACAAGCTGGTGACAAATGTGATTTTATAGGAACGTTGATCGTTGTTCCGGATGTTTCAAAATTACAAATGCCAGGTAACTTTGAATAGTAAAATTAGTCATATTTATGAAACATTACTCTGTTTTCATATTTTTATAGAAGACACTGTAGGGATTTATGTGACAATAATCTATTCTGCGCTACAATAACTATTATAGCAACATTTCTCTTTGACCAATCAGTAAAAAAGATATTATTTTAACAAGATAATCACCCTTACGCTATATAAACTGCATGTTCATGTATATATATGTATTTTGTGGAGGTAGCCAGTCTTTGAAATTTGAATGGAGTAGGAATATGATCTAGGGACCATCGATTGAACCAAAACTAGTGGCCTGGGAACGAGAATGCATCCTGAAATCAAATTCCATAGGTGTACGAGTCGGACAAATCCTGCCCTAACAGCTTTTGAATTTAGCTCAATATTTTTAGACCATTTTTGGAGCTGACACCATTTACTGCAGCTTTAGATAATAGCTAACTGCACTTCCTCCACATGGATTGCTGCATGCATGAATTTTGACCTTTGAATTTCGAGGGTCTGGAGCAAGCCCCTATGGAGATAATGTCGCTGTATGACTCTCTAACTTTTGCAGCCATGAGATGTACATATAGAAAATGATTTCATCATTAGCATTCACTAACTTTGTAAAGTCATGCACATTAACTGATATATTGATATTACACATCAGGTGCTCGTGCTGAAACATCTGAAAGACAAACTGGAGAGGGTTATAACACTGATGGTATAAGGTAATCTTAATGCCCGCCATAGGCCTTCTGCCATTGTTTCTAAGTCCACAAATGTTAATAGATAGATACTGTAGTGTATATGTGCATGCATTGGAAGGTTTTCAAGGGAGTAAACCGCCCAGGGCCGGTTGTTCAAAGCTGGATTAGCGCTAACCCTGGGTTAAAATTTAACCTGCTGTTTTGGTTTGAGTACATTTGCACTTCTGTTTATTTCAAAATTGAATAAAACTTCTATTGATCCAGACATGAATTGTGGAAAACTATCTTCGTGTTTCTAAACATGCAGGTTGTTGCAGGAAAGATTGCTTTTTGATTTTCGTTAACCTAGGATTAAGCTAACCAGCTTTTTAATGAGTATAACTACATTTAACAAGTATAACTACATCGGTAATTAAAAGGTTGTATTATCCTAATTTTTGACATTTTCAAAAACAGTAGTTCAAACATCAATAGCGCTGTCAATATTTTATGTAAATTCAAGTGCTATATATCAAAATCTAAGTTAGTCCTTTCTGAATGCAATGATCGATATTTCATTGCGATAGCTTTTATAGCTGTTAATTAGTTACATGAAATCAAAAAGTGTCCAGTTTTTTCGGGGACACCCGGTAGTTGTTTTCTGAAACCCCGAATTGGCAAAATTAGTATCGACAGTATGTAAGTATTTTTTCACCGAGAAATTAATTTACGTTAAAGTACCTAGACTTCTAACTATAGACCTCCTACTGCTCGTATACCTTTATAGACTTTGCATGCTCTTTACGCTCTGCTGATATTCTCTTTTCCCAATGTGTTGCTGCATGTAGAGGCCTGAAAGCTCTTGGTGTTCGAGATCTCTCGTACAGGTTGGCATTTCTGGCCTGCAGTGTTGAATCTACTAATCCCAGGGTATGTTATGGAATTCTATCGTTTAGTTATGAGCTTGAGCTATTGGGGTGGGAATGAAAATCTAGTTTTTTTTACAGCCGGGAATGGTTTTTTAAGCCATCTTAAGAAATGAAGTTGGACTACAGGATTGGAAACATACAATATATTAGGGACGTTTAGCTAACAGGACGCCGACGGCTACTAATACAGTGAAATTTATGATATATAGTGTGGAAAAGAAATGAAATTATAAAAATCCTGAGAAGTGGAATTCCGAAAACTTGGTCTGACAATACATCATGCAGACCAAACCATGTTTTGGGCGGACATGATCATGCAGGCACTATTTATTCATTGACTCAAATGCGAAAATTTGTACATTACATTGTATTGAAATTATTTCCATTGCATACGAAATTTGTTCTTACCAATATTACGGAGTTGAATTGCCAAATCATAGTTAAAATAGTAAATTCTAACTAAGCAATCCACCCCTCCCCCCTGGACTCCCTGAGTAAAATTTATGTTTTTGTAAACAGTTTGGTGGTAAAGATCTTGATGGTGATATGACCGCTGAGATGATTAAAAAACAAATGACCGACCATGAATGGGAGACTATTTATAAAATGACAAAAGACAAAAATTTGTATCAAAACTTAATAAGCAGCATATTCCCTACCATTCACGGTAAGAACAATCCTATTTTTTATTTCTTTATCATATACAGTAATGATTAGAGTGTGGATTATAACGGTCGGCAATCAGCCATTTGCCGAACAAAAACACTGAGTGACCGATTAATTTACTATACCAGTAATAAACATGGGAAATGTAAGGCATCTTATAATTTATTTAAATAAGACCAGAATCTTATAATTTCTACAGTTTCTGCTATAGTATTTTTCTATGTAATGTTAAAGGTAACGATGAAGTTAAACGTGGGATATTGTTGATGTTATTTGGTGGCGTTCCTAAAGTAACTCGCGAAGGAACAACTCTCCGTGGAGATGTTAATGTGTGTGTAGTCGGTGATCCCAGTACTGCTAAAAGTCAATTCTTAAAGTAAGTCACTATACTGTAAGTTCAGTCACAAATATGATAGGTGATGTTCGCTGTGTTATGTGCAGTGCGGTGTATTACGGTTTGACTTGAAGTGGTTTGGTATGGTAATATGTCGTATATGCATGGTGTCTGTGTCGTATATGCATGGTATATGGTTGGTAATGTATGCATGTATTGTACATATGTATCAGTGTATTTAAGAATTACTGTACGATTCATCCAATATTGCTCTTCATTACATTGTACAAAGTTTATTTCGAAATATTCCACTAAAAGAGCACTGACTTGATCATACAGAGATGATTAATAGTTATCAGTTTTTGAGGTGCAAAAGGTCTCAGGGCCATGCACACCATGCCATACAATACTTAAAATACCATGCATACCATACTATATATCAAACCATATCATACCTCGTGTAGTTGACTTTAATAGGGGCTACATTCTAAGTCCTAACAATCCATGGGGGCCGTGGGCTAAACGCTGCACCTCCCCTAAATATACTGTATATTTCCACCTGCCCCCAGCATTTCCACCAAAATCCGGCCTTGATGGTCTCTAATTGAATGTTAAAGAAATGTGTGAAGTGGTGTGGTAGAATGTGTTGGGATGACCATGAACCTATACTCTCATACAGTAGTCACGCTTTATGCGCTGAGCTACTGTACTAACCAGCTTGCTGAAGACCTTAGCAATTATTTTAAATATTGTTAATATGCTTTTTTATAATAACTGCCTGGTGGCATTTAATCACTTTAATGATACCTATTTTTGTTGTGCTATGTGATGTGATATGACGTGATAATGTGTGATAATATTTTGGTGTAGGTATTGCAAACGAACGTCTAATGTAAAATTTGCCAATCTTTGTTTCCAGGCAAGTGGAAGAGTTCAGTCCCAGAGCTGTATATACGTCAGGCAAGGCGTCCAGTGCTGCAGGTTTGACCGCCGCTGTTGTTAAAGATGAAGAATCACATGAATTTGTTATTGAAGCTGGAGCCCTCATGTTGGCTGATAATGTACGTGTAGTAAAACTCGAAATTTAAAGTGCATAATTTTCCACCTCTCATGCGGTGTTTATATGAGCCTTAGGGCAGGCCATCCTACTGTAGACAAGATTCCAGTTGCATTCCCTAATAACATTTTTCGTTTATATGAAATTAAGGAGAGCCAGCCCTCGTAGGCAAGATCTCCAGGCCTGGAAAAAGTAATTTCTTTCTATCACCACTCTGACAGAACAAGACAATTCTGTCATATTCCAGAATATGGCAAGAACGACAAACGAAGCATAGTTGCATGATCAAGTATCGAGTCAGTTATTTATGTATTGTTTATATATTGTTTAAGTTGTAAACCTGTCCACCTTGCACTCCACGCCCTCGTTGACCTCGTTTGCTTATTGATTTATTGATTTATTTCCAGCCGTTCTTTCATTCTTTCTTGCTCCACCCAATAATTTTCTGGGGACTTGAAAATTTCTTGGACCAAATGCTCCCATGCTCGATACTTTTTCCGCTCCTTGGAGATCGCTCGATACTTTTTCCGCTCCTTGGAGATCTCTCTGGGGTGCATGGTCCTCCTAGTAGGACTAGGTCCTGCTCTACTGTATCAAACTCGGCTTTTCGAAATCTTTTTCGATTCAATAATTTGACGCTAGAACAATTTTAGTGTTCGAAAGTTTGCTCGACAAAATATAAATTTGGACTTCGTAAGAAAATGAGTGAGTTGTAGGAAAGTCATTTAATACTGTTTGCGGAAACGAACCAGCCCTAGCAAGAGGGTTGATTTTTCTCATGTAAATACGAGGTGAAAACAGGCATGTACAGTAACAAGGTTCGTAGCGGTCTTTGAAATCCTTGAAAGTCTTTAACATGGCCAGAAATTCAGGACATGCGCCCGCAATATATCTCAGCTGTTTTTCCTATGAAAAGTTATTCATACCTAACAAACGCAAGTTTTAACTAAAAAAATACATTTTGTTTAGTTTTTTGTTTAACTAAAGCAGAAAAATACATATATTATGTATTGACAGCCTTTTACATACCTTTCATTTATTATGATG